CCTTCAAGTCCTTTTTTCTTTTTTGAAATGTAGTAAGCTACATTCAGAGATCCTAATGAACGTGAGCCTATCTTCGTTTCATCATTGACAGAGCTCGACCAACCGAACAACGTCAAGATGCTCCTGCGATGTTGTCTTCTAAGTTGAACGAGAGCATAACGAGTGAAACGTGAGGTTTCGATTTCGCCGTACGTCCCATGACGAATGGCCGTTCGATGCCAGTTCGCTTTGATCATTTTGATCGCGGACAATAGCGCCATATTATCCGCGGCGATGCGATCGCTGGGTGGTGCCAAGAGGCTACGGAATGCTGACCTGAGGGACGGTGACTCTGCGAGAGAGCGGCGACACCACGCCCCTCAATGTGGAGTGTCGTCGAAACGCGTCTTCGTCACTGTCGTCGTTGGTCGAGCGTCGCCTTCACGCCAGTTAGGTCGCCACCTCCAAGCGTAATTGATCGAAAGTTGTTCGAAAGTGCACTCCGTCCGTCCGTCCGTCCGTCCGTCCGTTCTTTTCCCTCATCGCCGCATCCGCCTCTGCTTCCGTTCGCCTGGTGCTGCCCGTTATTGGCGTTTGGTGGCTGGCAAAGAATCGACGACTTCGTCGTCGCTGCTGATCGAAGAGCTCCACTACCGCCATTGCTCCTGTTGCTACTGTCGTTCGGCTGTTGACTCTTCGATTGACTCGCCAGCAGCTTCACCGCACCGCTACTTCCATTGCCGTTATTCGTTGACCTTTGAACTATCGAGCAAGTAAGTGAAGTTCGTGTCACATTCTACGTCCGTCAGCTTGAACAGTGTTAATTTAATATTCATTTTATTTTCAAATTTATTTGTCGACTACCTTAGGAAACGACGCTTTGAGGGTGCTGACACTGAGAACAGCGCGTCAGCTAGTTTCTTTGTTGATAGACGACGAAGTGTGTGCGTCTTTGTGACGCTTAAACTCACTGTCCATTGCGAATCGACTGCTGGCAGCAGGGAGTTCAACAGGAGCACATAGAAGGCTTTTTGTGCTTAAGGGCAACATCAGTTCTCTGTCCTCGTTCAAATGCCAGATTAACTCATAATTGAGGGTGATCAGTGTTAAAGTTGAAGGGCTTAGTAGACATAGGAAGCCTCTCGACAATCCTACATACGGATGGGAAAGGTTTCGGTAGCAGTTGGATTTTAATTTTCAGCCAAGTAGCAAAATTTACTGATTAATCCACTTTTACACGTAAGAATCGACAGACCGATACTGAGGAAATCCCAGTTGCACAGATAATCAACAAGTTTGGTCTTTACTCTCTGCCGCATCGCAGCAGTACTACCAACGGCGTCTTTCGTAAACAGGCTGTCTAAGAAAAGTGATGTCCGCTTATCTCAGCGTGTCATATTCGGATATTCGGCAGTGTTTACTAGAAGAGCGTCGCGGAGGGAAAAATTCTCATCCGGGAAGATCCCCGATAAGTTTCCTTTGTTATTGATTTTGTTGTCTGTGTTTGGGTTCCCAACCCAGCAGCTGGAGTGATTGACGGTCACCTCGTTGCAGCTGATCAAACCTTGTCGATCTCGATCTTCGTAGAATTGACTCTACTTCCTCTATTTAAGTTGCCAGTTTCAAGGGACAGCTAAGCTTCTGTGCATCGGATCTTCGTGTAGGGAATGCAGCTCTGCCCAGACCAAGTTCAGCGAAGTTTGATCCCATGACATTCTGGTTCGCGTAAACAATCTTAGGTGATTAGTTGACATTTAGATAATTTTCAGCCCTTTTGATCAAGAACTTCCGCTCCAGTTCTCATGAAGGTTCGCATTTGCACTTTATGAAAGGATTTGCGATTTGTAGGAAATCCATCATTTCAGCCGAAGGGCAATCTACTCTTGAGAAATTGCGGTTTTACTGTTTGAAATGAAGCACAATGTGTGGGATGATTTAATGCCTACGGATGATTGAGGCATTTCGGACTTTGTTCGAAAGCACTTTCGATCGGCCCAGATCGATGACCCGATATAGTATCCGTGATGTGCACGTGTTCAAATTTCATGCATCTCTGGTCTGCGTAGAGCTTTTCCTGGAAGCAAGACAAGGCGATTTGAATGCCCCCGGAAAATCTGGTACAGTGACAGGGAAATGTGATTGCCGGCAGTCGGAAACTGCCATTACTGGCAGTTAAGTGATTAAAAAGATTAGGTTTGCCTCGTCGGCCAAACTCGTTGGCCATAAACCATTTACTCTATCCGGCTCTCGAGCTTCTCCCGTGGAAGGCAAAGCATAACGGCATCGACCAGAAGATCAGCATGCAACGTGAAGGAACAAGGCAGAGGCAGATCTGCTTTGGAAGAGGAGCTGCACGTTTTACAATGCAGTAGCACGTGCCTTATATCAAAAACTGTTGAAAGGCTGCAAATAGAGTGCACCTCCAAACCAGAGACCCTGTACTTATGCAAATGATTCAAGGTGATTATCTGAACAAACAACAAGCAACAAGGTCACTGCTGACAGTTGTAACAGTATTGGTGCAATCTTTTGATAAGGTATAAGGTTTCGATAAGGGGTAGATTTTTCTTCACCACAAAATATTACTATTCTTTTGGTCTTAGAACGACGACAATTATTCATTTTCAGCGAAAAGTTCATGCTTGAATTATAATGCATATAATAAGCGTATTGCATCAACGTTCAAGTAGAGACAGCACGTGAAATGATAGAACGAAGTCACATAAAAGTTCAAAGAAAGCACACTACAGTTACGGAACCGGAAAATCGTATAATTGGTTGGCTTTTTGATTTTTGCCAGTAGCCACCTGCGGTCTTTGCATTTGCATGTTCTAGTTTTAATTTTATGAAAAATCTGCATACATTCGGCCGAGGAACGTCTCCATTAACGGTTTTTGTAGCTTATTGATATCTGAAAATCTGAGGTTCGAGCAGGAGAAAGACGACACTTTGGCGTTGAAGCTTCAGAACACGCGACGAACACTGTACGATTTTGTTGTTTTTTTTGTAGAGTAGGTGCCAGCTGCCGTTCAGAATATTGACTATTGCAATTATTGTGCGCAATAATGGCAAGTGCCCTCGCTACTGCGGATACAGTCTATGAAAATCCATATTCGAGTGCATAAATCTGAGTAAGGACTGCATGCAGGATTATGATTCCGTGGTCCTCGAGTTTATTACATAAATCACCGAGCTCCCTTTCGGTTCGATGTCAAGGTACCATGATTAAAACAGACTCGATAAAAATAAAATCTTTGAGGTCAAATTCAGGACTATGAGGGGCGGAGCAGGAGAATTTATGTTTACAATTTTTCATGTTGTATTGCTCCGGTCTCTGCCATTGTTCCTGTTCAAACATCCATTGGCCGCTGATCGTTCTTAAATGACGAATGACTCCTCCAAAACCAGGTTTTACGGCGTACTGCATCCCCAGTTACTCTTAACTACCAAAGACGGAGGGGACCATTTAAACAGGCGACGGCTCCGTGAGCACCTGCAGTGCCAGATGCATCTCACAGCACTTTATCCGTTAGAGCCACGGTCCGCTCATCCTAAACGAACTGGCACTGCAGGTGTTCAAATACTATGGAATCGTAGTCTACGCAGATGACCCCTTAGGCAACTAGGAAGAAGGGGCATGCAATGATCCTAGAAATCTGGTCTTGGATTGGGCATTCCATTCGTTAATTGGACATCTGCGGTGCCAGGGCCATCTCATGCTCATCACGAACGACATTTCTGGAGCTTGCTTATATCCCATATTTGCGACTGGATGAACATTGTTTGTTGATTGTTCCCAATACATGGCATTATAGCATTTTGCGGCCGAGATTGCGCCGGTGTATCACCATTCCGTTGAATGCTTTTCTGTAGCACATTGCTTCCTCATTCTACCTTGATTGCTACCGCGTCCTCCGTCTGTTTCCTACGTCGTCGGTGTTGCGTGTTGCTTTTTTCTCTCAAATCACCGTTCTTCCATCCGACAAGGTTGCGCCTGTGTTTGTGTCGTCTGCGTCTCCTTTTTCTGACAAGATTACGCGTGTTCTCGATAAAGACATTTGTTTTCAGAGTTGCAGGGTATACAATACTACAGGGTTCACACTGACTATCCTGCGGCACCTCTGTTTTGACATCATTCGTTAGTCGATCCGAAGGGTCGGTTCAGACTTGCACACACAACTTTTAAGTTGACTGCTAAGGCGATTCTTCGCAGGTCCTCCCTCAGGCAGCAGTGTGTTTGTGTGTGTGAGGCAGGCATATTACCGTACCACTAAATTCATGCTTTCAGCCCACTTCTGCGTGTCAGGCTGGTTCATTTGTTGATTAATGACTTCCTGTACGAGACGTTGAGGGCAGCAAGTGTTTCTTAATGCTCTCATTAAGTAATTCAGTTCTTTCTGAATATCAGTTTCATATCAACTAAATTTTTGAGGTCTGCTGACAAGAGTTTGAGCGATGACTTTCATCATTCCATGCAAATAATTTGAAGTATATTGAATTGGTTCTTCCGCATCAATTTGTGATAGATCTCTGTTTCATAGCGGTTCCCTTTTCTCGTGACTAAATTTTGCAGAAAGCTAAGTATGGCTCGACACGTCCGTAATTTCTATTATGAAATCTATATGCAGAGCTATCCCATTCATAAGAAACATGATGGTCGTGGAACTGATTTCCCTGATAAAATAACATTGTTCGATTTTGACAATTATAATTTTTAAAACTCATTACTGCACCTATAGTGGTTTCCAACGAAGTTTCCAGCGGTAGGAAATTTGGAAACATATATTTTTATATGTCATGAAGTTATCAAACCGTGGCACGTGTTGAGTTATCAGCTTTACGGCAGTACCATTGTTGTGCTGATCAACGACCGTGTGACGGAGCCATATTACCCTGATAAATAGAACTTTACTATCTGTAGGCTTAACTACCGTTTGAAACCATTTGTTTATTGAGTACAGAATTTTCTGCTTTCTTTATCCAACATTCTCTCTCCATGACCTCATCCCAGCAACACCGTCGCACAGGACCTAATTATTTTGCAGTGACTGAACATGTATTATTCATATCGTAATATACCTGAAAGTGTAAAGTGTCGTCCTGATGATAAGCAAAACTTTCTTAGGTGGAAGAACGGACGACGCGTCCTGTGATTCCAAAACTTGTGTCTCAAACCATGGAATAAAACATTTTTCACTGATGGTGCGAATGAGCCCCTCGTCCTTATCCTTCTTTTCATCTTCCATAATCACTTTTCCTTTCGGGTCGCGGAGGCAGACACGTCAGACAGTGTTTCTACTATTTCCCCATCCTGTGCCAGAGTATGAGTGACAGCGGAACACAACTGGAGTCTTGAGCGGACTCCTTCCACATATTTGCACCAGGTTAATCTTAGCCTTCCCCTAGGCCTTGTTCAGGTCGACTGAGCAACAAGAAGGTGCTTCGCCTTCCTTCTGGAGTCATTCGCAACACATGCACAAACCATCGCAGCTGCGACCTCTCAATGTGAAAAAGCAGCGTTGTACAAAACGGAGGCTCTGTCAAACTGTTGTACTCTGAACCATGTTCAGATGCCTAAAGCCAACCATTCGCTTCAGTAAGCCCAATTCAACCGCTTGTACGCGAGATCGAAGTTTTTCAGTCATTAACCACGACTAATGACCGAAGGTAAGCATGGGCATGAAGATCGACTTTAACACCGAGAGT